AATCGAAGTTCTCCGTTTCTTTCCCTTCCATGTAATAGAGAACTCTGGTTGGTTCAATTTCTTATGCCTCATGTGTTATGCGTTATGCAAGAGTCTGTGCTCCCCGCTTAAGTCGCAAACGCAAAACGCAGTTCGCAGATCATTTGCGACAGCCAATATGGAGCGTTGATTTCAAAATGCAAGCTTCAGATTGGCTGTCGCGACAAACTTGCTATCAGCTTGTAACTAATGTAGAACCGGCTTAAAGAAAAACGAATATTAAAAATGTTATTTTAGACCGTATATATGAGAACATAACCAATGCCAAAGACATAGAGAATGGACTTCGCGATCCGTCTATCAAAATGGTCGATAGGGATAAGAGAGAGGGACCGTGGCAGACAGCCATTTCTATCTCTTTCTATTCAATGGTGTAATGGGAGAGAGAATGAGAGGGAGATTGGCCGTCTCCCACGGTCCCTCTCCTTCATTATTGTCGACAACATTTTACTATGTTTACACGGCACACTTTACGTCGAAATTATAACATCGATGTTATGAAACTGGCCAATCATAGCTGTTCCTCTGAAGAATGGAATGACTGTGATTGGTCAGTTTCATGACATCTATGTTATAACTTCGGCGTAAAGCGTGCCGTGTAAACGTAGTATTTGATACACTACTTAGGGTACGTTCGGGAAGACGCTATCAACACTATCAACGCAAACGCTACTAACACTGTTCATATAGCCAATAGCGCGATAGTGATAGTGAGTTCCATGAATGCTACTCATGCACTACCTCGGAGTAGAGCCCTATATATATAGCGTATTCGATTACTTACTCGACCCGACTCTGAGTCAACAGTCTGTTCTTTTTAACTGCATTTCTTACACAATTTAGCTCTTCTTTTGCAGCTAAACAGAACAGACTATTGACTCGGAGTCGGGTCGAGTCAGTAAATCGAATACGCTATAGAGAGAAGCGACATTGATGTCCGAGTTTATGATTGGTAGTTTGATATGTATTCTGATTGGGTATCCCCTCCAAAGTGAAGCAGCCATATTGTGACCGCAGCTGATTACATATATAGCTGCACAAGTGATTGCGACACATATGGCCGCCGCTGCAGTTGTATCTCACTTGTCAGCAAAAGGAACGTGCATTCAACTAAGTTATGACACAGAGAATCACTACATCCTTGTTATTCACATCGAAGTACAGAATTGGAGGTTGGAGTATGTTTACGTTGGGGTGATCCCGATTGACCACGGCTCGATTGGACACCACCAATCACAGCGACCAGTGCTTAGGAGCTTTGTAGTCTCAAGCGCTGAGTGGCTCGTGTCCAATTGATTTTAAAACATTGTTTTAAATTAAGCGAGCGGCAGGAATTAAGTTCAACACCTAATAATTACATTTCACGTTTATATATTTTTTATATAACATAAAATTTAAAAAATAATTGGTATTAACTCAAAATATTTATTTATAAGAACCCATCTATATATTAGATTTTCAGATATATTTAAATATTAGGTATAACAGATATATTTATTTATAAAATAAACAAATATTCTTGCAAACCCATGATTACCTGTTAATGCATATATCGTATGTATTAATTAAAACTTACTTTTTTAGAAAAGGTAAAAAAAGCTAAAAATACGTGCTTTTCGAATAAAACCTTAGTGATACGTTATGTATCTTTTTATTATTTCAATTCAAGTAATAACAGTTTTAATTCTCTTTCAAACAATGTTTCTTATTATTCCTCGAAAAATACATATGATATCATCTTGATATTTTTACTTCTTCAAAAATATTCTTATTGAAGGTCTTATTCCAACCCAAGGAATAGCGCGCGCGCACGCACGCACGCACGCACGCTCGCACACACAGCTTTAACTCTGTGTAAAAAATTATTATTCCTCGAAAAAACTATTAAAATTAAAAATTAAAACCCAAATGTACTACCGTCTTTACTACCCGAGTTAAATTCTATCAAAGTAAAAAGTAAAACCCCCAAGCGACATAATCTTTATTATTTGCTTAACTCTAATGATATCATTTGTATAAAAAATTTGATATCAACAACTAGCGCTAAGTTAAATTCCATAAAGTTTTATGCATTATTCATATAAAAAATTTCATATCAACAACTAGCGACAAGTTAAATTCCATACAAAATTAAATAAAGAATATAATCCAAGTAGTACTAGCTTTAATTTTTATACAATAAAACCTAAGTATATATCTTTGTATTCCCTGAAAAGATCTTCCAATTCTTTGATTCTTTCCTCTTGAAAAGAAATTATTATATCACAATTCATTCTAAGATATTTTCTCTTCATCAAAATAGTAGTTATTTAATTCTTCTTTAAAACATTATTATTACAAAATTGCGTTATCTTGTTCAATTTAAGATTTGACATTGTTGATATTAAATCTTTTATACAAATGATAGATATCATTAGAATTAAATAAATAATAAAGATAGTACCACTTGGGTTTGATTTTTTGATAGAATTTTAATTTGGTTAGTAAAGTCAGTAACGCATTTGGGTTTTAAGTTTTAATTTTTAATAATTTTTTTCGAGAATCAATATTCTACGGCTTAAAGCTTATTATACTTATTGTATTTTAGGCCCGATTGCACCAACATTATTTTAACTTTAGGAAAGACTTAAACAACTTTCTCTCCCCCCCCCCTTTTTAGAGAGAGAGAGAGAGAGAGAGAGAGAGAGAGAGAGAGAGAGAGAGAGAGAGAGAGAGAGAGAGAGAGAGAGAGAGATTGCAATCGGGCAATTAACCTTAGACAATTTCCAAAATTTCAGAAACCTCACGCGCGTGTGTAAAATAAATACGTCTAGATAAATTTACCTCACAGTTGTGAGTTGTACTATATATGTATAAATTATTTCCTTTTTATGAATATATCATATAATAACATTAACATTTAAAAATATATTAATATATATTTACTGGTTCATTATACTCTTTAACACATACATAGTATAAAGATTACAATTGTCACTTAAATATTATACATAGAATATATTTTCTTTTTGTCAAGACACATCATTAAAGTTTTACTTACATTCAAATGACAAATAATCGTAAGCGTTATCGTCTATTGACCAACTTGATGAAATATGTAATTAATATTGATAATCATTTTGATATAATTCATGTTAAATATACAGTTATTCAAATTAAAAAGGATAAGAAGATTGGTTTGCGTATAAACATTTAAAAAATTGTTAGACAATTTTCTTGGAATATTTCTCTGGTAAAATATTTTCCAATTTAGATATTATAATATAAATGACTTCTCAACACAATTATAAAATATCGCAGGGTTACCACAAACAAAATGATTTCTAGTGTTAACAAAAATTTTGTTTGTGTCAAAAAGACTTTTTGATTACTTCATGCTGATCATATTAGACTGGAGCCTAATTGTTTGAACAGAAATATATCGTTCATCCAATTACAGTTATCATTATCGCGTTGCATCTATTGATTCACGAGGCTATTATAAATGTTATAATAAACAACCTCAAATTGCACTTGTGTCTTTTTCACACGTAAAAAGGGCACAATTAACATTCGGAATGTGTTTAAGGCGATACTTTAACATTGGGAATTCCGGTTGTTTCTCTTTGCGTGAAACTCATCTCGGAAGTAATTCTCATATGCAATTAGGACCGTTTTCTCGCGAGTAAATAAATTCTACAGGCATGTAACATTCTTATAAAAAATTTAACTTAACTGGGAAGAACCGGCAGTGGTTTGCTTTTTTCCCGTTATTCAATTCAAAATTTATTAAATTATATATGTTCCACTAAAAAACATGGATAGATTGATACCCTCTGTATCTCTTTATTATCTCTCTTTATTTGCTAAATCTTCTTTCCCCTTTCTTCTCTCCTATTTTCTGCATTAACTTTTCCATGAATTATGTATATAAATATTCATTTGCATTTCTATACCACAATGATTATAAAGTCACATTTATGAAATATTGAAGCGGCAAAGCTCGCTAAAAAAGAAAGAGGAAGAAAACATTTTAAGGAGCTAAACTACAGCAGGAATTGGTTTTCCGTGCGGTCTTGTAAAACGCCTTCGACTGAGCGCTGAGTCCTTCCGATTTAGAGACTAGATCATCCAGCTTCTCTCCCCTTTGCAACACAGCTTCTAAGGTATTGTGCTGGTAAAAAGTATCACATTAAATTTGGAATATTTGTACAGTATTTGTATCTAAGGATAAGATCTAGTTTAATATGTGATTTAATTTGTTACTTGAAAATCCGAGTGAAAATCCAATAATTAATTTTATTTTCTAGAATTTTTTAGAACTTTATTTTCTAGGATTCGAATAATATTTATAAGAATTATCATGAAAAAATTGATAAAGGGCCATCCCTCTGTTCTGATCGGTACCGATTGATTGTGCGTGATCTCCTCTATTGAAAAAAATCCTTGCGTGATCGCAAACCTTTACGAGGTGCCAAAATACCGCTGTTAGTACTTTCAAGAAATCACGCTTAATAAAAATATTATTTATAATTTTGTAATAATATAACTTATTTTATATTACCGATTCCACACTTTATATATGGAGTGCGATAAATAATTTTTGTAACATTTTAAACGATTCTCGTACACGAGAATAAAAATTCCTGCCGCGGGCCTGCGCCCGCTGCGTATTCGGCCCTGATCAGGGGCTGGCTGCGGCGGCCAGTTTCAGCGTCGTCAGTACATAGCAGCTATTTCCAAGGCGCGACGTGTTCGTGTAGGTTTGTGCAAAATGTGTGTGTATTTGAGATTTAAAAATATGTAATATTATTATTAATACATTAAATCTTAAATACATTTTACAGTTTTATAAATTGCATACCGAACAGTCTTAAAGCGCATACTGAAGCTAAATGAAATGATACCGCAACGTTCCTGGATTTTCAGTTTGGGAGTGAAGCAGAGATTACCTCGATAAAGCGCACTCAGAGTCCCGAGCGCGCGCTATTACGAGGTTCCAGTGTGCACGCGCGCGCGCGCGTGTGTGTATATGTGTTGTGGGCCTGTGTACACAGGGTGATCCAGACCAACCGCAGGAGCTAACACGTACATATCCCTCATGAAAAAAATGAGTCGAAAATGTCAATAGCAAAATGTTGTATATCAATAGTTTTTAAACGGTGTCTTTGAAAATGTCCAACCATAGGATATGAAATTCGCGTCGTCAGTAGCGGTGCAACTAAACAGCCAGCCGCACGAACGCTATGACGGATACCGCTTGACGAACCTTCGCAATACTCGTTCGATACCGTGCGATATCCGTCAAAGCGTTCGCGCCGCGCGGCAGGCCGCTTAGTTGTACCGCTCCTGACGGCGCGAATTTCATGCCCTGTGATTGGATATTTTCAATTCACTTTTTCGTGAGGAATATGTACGTGCCGGATCCTGTGGTTGGTCTGAATCACTCTGTATATGTGTACGAACGGATATTCCAATCGATCAAATAAATCCTCTTAGAAATTCCTCAGCAAATAAAAGAGAAACAATGTAATTATTGATTCTTACCAAAATAATTTTGGTTTCATCTAGATCGTTCTGCATTTTTGTGAGCGCATCCGCGTCGACTGGATTCTGATACTTGGCTAGATACGTATTGATCTGTGGAAAGTCAGCGGTGACCTCTTTAAGCGCGGGCCATGTCGATGGTGGATATTTCACCGTAAACTCTTCCATCATTTTTGTAATTAGAGTATGAGCCACTCTCCTAGGGTATTCATGATCCGAGATGAGAACTGCAGCGAGATTGTCGGCTCGTACATAGACATGACACATGTATTCTAGAATCAAATACATGGAGGATAAAACATGATGATATTGTTTACAGTAATACAAAAAGTTTATTTAGAATTATAACTGTAATCCTATTTGATTACCTCCTTCTTTGACGCTCTGCCTGGCACAAGTCTGCGTTCTTTCTACAATGGTTTTACTGACAAAACACATGAACTCTTTAATACTATTCTTTTGAAAAAACGAGAACGACTCTACATCGTAAGCAGCTTTCAGCGTCGTTACTGACGGAGGACTTTTATATAGAACAGTCAGTGCATATAACTTTACCATTTTAAACTGCAAAAATAATAGATACAGTTAATAGATACAGTATTAGATAATAAACAAGTATGGAAAAATTACTTTATAAAAGTAATTAGTTACAAGTACATTTTTTATCTCAAAAAATAATTAGTTACTGTTACAAGTTATCGACTCTAAAAAATAACTCGTTACAGTTACCGTTCGACTGAAAAAATAACTTTTAATTACTTTTCAGTCACTTTTTTTTCATCAGAATTTTCAGCAGAACATCACAAATAACATTGATATCATTAAAACTGCGTTCAGAAACGTTACTCGAGTACCTCCGTGTATTGCTTTATCCTTATTGTTCATCTAAGATTAAACAAGGATGATACACGGGATCATTAGCATAACGCAACCTATAGGACAATCAAAGAAAAAGACTGGTTTACGTTTATATGTCCTACAATTTTATTCAAAAAAATAAGAAAATTATATGGCTAAGACGTTTTTCTAGAGATCCCAAGATCGAAAATCCTGCTCTTTTGTCTGGCTCCTTTTCATAGTTTATTTTCCGAAATTGAGTCAGTAATAAACATAATCAAGTCAGTAGTAAATGTATATTAGGTCAAATATATTTTCATATAATTTTTGAAATAAATTATATATGGAAGTTCTAAAGCGCAACAACTGTAGTAATTTGCTTCAGTATCCAATATTCTAACATTCTTCAAATCGAAACTATGGTTGTATTGCAATACATGTTCTGTTATAAACGAATGTCTAGACGAGTCAAGTTTTATATTGTTAATGTGCTCATTTATTCTGGTATTGAGTTTCCTCTTCGTCTGCCTCACATAAGAAACGTCGCAATTGTTACATTGAATCTTATAAACTGCATTATTATTGTCAGAATATACTTTTTTATCATTATGCGCTTTTATAAATTTGTTTAATTTGTTGATGCATCTGTAAAGTAAAACGAAAAATTAATGAGCATATTCAAAACTTTTTCCTCAAGATCCTGTAGAACAATGTCAGCCATAATGGGAGAGAGAGAACTCATTAATGTATCAACGTCTGTTTATATATAACGTGATTGAATTTAAAGTACATGGAAGATAATGTAAATTCAATTGTACATATAAATTCTGTCTTAGGAATCGACGTTTTTTGTATTGCCATCTTCTATTAATATCCTCAATGTCCAGATTTTGAGGGATATTGGTATATAATGACGTGGCATCCAAAGAAATTAATAACTTCGAATCATTGATTTTTTTTACCTAACAGTTGCTTGTACAAATCGAAACTAGGAGCTCTTCGACAATTGTCAGGCAGATTATTAGCAATAATTTTATGTAGAAATACAGCTAAACCATCTTATATAATTTGATATCAAGCTACAATAATAGTGTTACTGGAATTTCCTTCTCTTACTCATACTGACTGCCCTTTCTTGCTATTAACCGAAGAATTGGTTTGGATACATGACTCATCATTACATCACTTATAATTTAACAAATTTGACTAAATACAAAATGGTTGTTGCGTTATGCTATCTATTGTAACTCGAAAGTGAGATAATCCTCATAATATGTTAATCGGATATATGGGGTAATTATGTATTTTTACGACTGATGTGAGAGCTAAGTAAAGTTGAAACGTACCATTGAAACTTATCGTTGAAAATTATAGCTGTAAATAATAAACATTACATTGTTACCTAATTATAGCTCGTTCAATTTGTTGATCTGGGTGTTACTATTTATTAATCTGTTAAAATATGTACAAAATACAATTTAAAATACAAAAGTAATTTAAAAAGTACGAAACATATACCTGGGGTCATTTCATTACCCCAATGGAGTCAATAATTACAAAAGTAAGACACAAGTTCAAGTGTGATAGTGATCAATTGATAGATTGATCAATGTGTAACATCAGTCATTCTGATAAAGTAATGATTAAAGCTGACAAGGAGAGACTCACATAAGTATTTCACGGATTTTGATCAACTTTTGCATGGTTATTCTGAGACACCAAAAAATAATCTCCGTAAAGAAGTAAATTGCACCTCTACGTATTTATCGAGAAAATCGTGATTTTAGATCACGATGACGGATCGCTTTCAAACCTGGGGGAATCAATATAATAGATATTTAAAAAACAAGTAATTACACTTTTCTTAATGTTAATGACGTGTGTTTTAATGAAAATATGGTTAGTGTGATTGTGGCACGACACCAACGTTCATTCGGTGCATATGGTATGGTAGACAGTATGCTTCGCATGCTTCTATGACAACTACTACCTATCATTATGTGTATCATTTTGCCAGAGAGCATTGTGAATAAGTAATAAGAAATGAACCGTATGTACATTATAAATTAATTTTCCTAAAATATATACATAAAAATTACTCGTTTTTTAAATATATATCGATTTCCCCAGGTTTAAAAGCGATCTGTCGTAGTGATCTAAAATCGCGATTTTCTCGAAAAATATGCAGAGGTACAATTTACTGCTACAGGGATTATTTTTTGATGCCCAAGAATAATGCAAAAGCTGATTAAAATCCGTGAAATACTTATGTATCTTTCCTTGTGAGTCATTGTGATGATAGTGTTAGACAAAGAACAGTATTACAATAGACGTTTAAGTTCAGAAGTGATTAAGAAACAGACTAATGGCTTGAACTTACAAACTGATTTGGAATTTCTTGATCCCCAATCTAACGATATTCTTATTAAGTTACAGAATTCTGTTGCTTCTTGATCTTAGTATTATTACACTGTGTATAAATTTATTGATTATTTATTTATATATTTGTCTTTTTGTTTGATCTTAAAGTAGTAGGTCTTATTCTGTGTAGTAAGCGCTCAGATTTATTTTGTACATTACAGTTTCAACCGTTTCAACGTTCATAAGATATAGATACAATAATAATTTCACTGATTCGGTTTTCACGTAAGTTGATTTTATATATTTTACATAAGTCTGAGACACAATGATATTATATGTATATCTTTCTTATAATATAATTAATTATGATACATAATATCTGTTGTTACATAATTAATGACTACTATATTTATTATTTCTATAGTATGACACATAATTTATTAGAACATCACAATGATTCAGCTTGAATCATTATTTTATCAAAACAATTGGTGTGAAGTTGGATTCAAACTATGTATTGAAGAATGAGATTTAAGATTGAAAGATTGAAGTTTGACCAATCAGAACACAAGGAAAATTTCTTTGTCCTCATCGGTGAAATTTCAATCTTTAATCTTTAATCTTCTCAATCTTCAATGCATAGTCTGATTCCAGTCTTACACATTGGTTAATCTGCCAACTGACCACTAGGTCTGTTCAACTTGTTTACACTTTTTATACTCAGCGTTTTCTCTCTTTTCAGTGCCAAATATTATATATCTATCTCATTTTAAGTATAAAAAGTGTAAAAAAGTGTAAGCAAGTCAAACAGACCAATTGTCACATTTGAACTTGCATCTTACTAACTACGTTTTGTAATTGCTGACTCCATTGCAGTAACAAAACGATATGTTTCATACAATTATATTTTAAATTGTGGCAAACCAACTCTAATTTACGTATAATAATATCAATATACAAGAGTTTAATGTCTATTACAGTCAAAGCTGGATCTTAGATGCTTTTAAATAATTTTTATGTAAAGGATGCCAGATTGAGCATAAAATCCTAGCAAAAATCTAAAATCCAGCTTCGGTCATAATAGGCATTAAACTCTTACTTGTGCATTCTAATATTATATATACCATAATTTATAATGTATAATTTATTTAATTAATTAATGTTTTAGTATTGAGAAAGACAACATTGGTTAGAACGTATGCAGATTAATTTTGATGAATAAATAAATAACTTTGTGCACCAACAACTGCCTAGGCTCTTAATTGGCTTTTTTATCCCTCTTTAGTTGGGATTTATTCTCAAAGCCCTAGATATTTTTAAGTAATATTAATAAAAAATTTGTATCTGTTTTCTACGTATGAAAAGTAGTAAACAAATTTTGAAAATAGCTTAAAAACAATGTTACGTACGTCGATTTTTTTGAAGTATTTATATCGTAAGAGCTTGCAAGATCTTTGGTTATAGCGACGAATCCTAGTCGATCCTACCCAGTCCTACCGTTCGTCCGATTTGACTGTTAGCAGGACGCTTACTCGCTGTGATAATTCACTGGAGAATCATATTGTTTTTCTACGACATATACAATCACCACTAGCCCCTACATGGCCTGAGGTACGAAATACGAAACTGCCATATTGATCATGGGTGCGTTCCGTTTCTCGCATGATGCGCATAATGCGTCGTTTATCCTTGTTGCTCACCAAATGTGAAACAAGGATAATGGATGCATCATGCGCATCATGCGCGTTACGGAACGCACCTCATGTTGTACATACGTCGGGCACAGAATCTGTCAGAGATGCCAATTCTGTTACGGTTTACGACATCGCGACTAGCGTCATCGGTCGGCGGTCTGGCGCAACCGGTAGCACACACGCAAGCACAAGCTCGTGTACGTGTAAAGCTGGAAACACAATAGGCACAGGCAACAGGGAATAACGAGCCGTCCAATCAGAGCTCTGGGATATAATATCGAACTTATTCCCTGTTGCCTGTGCCTATTGTGTTTCCAGCTTTAACATTGAGCTCGCACCCTCGCACTTCTCTTTATATATGTCTGTGAACGGAAATCGTTCGGTAACGAGAATAGTATATTCAGTGATGTTTTTCTCACGCGTTAATTTATAGCAAGTAATATTCAATTTTCTTTCCGTTTAAAGTTGTGCTTGTAACAATAAAATGGCATCACTTGCTCGCGTTGGTTTCATCAAACTTGGATACAATAACCTTGCTAGGCAATTATGTAAGGTTAGTGTTGACACAGCGTTAACAGTTTTTATTTTTGACATCTAAATATGTTTTAGGAAACAAACATATTGGTAATTAATCATTAATACGAAATTCATAAAAGTCATTGTATCTCTCCATGAAATCATAAAGAAAGTAAATACTTGAAGAAATGAACATTAAGTCTACACTGATTCTTACAAGTAAAATTATCTTTCTGTAATTCGCTGAACTTAAACTTGGTATATATTTATAGTCTATAAAAATAATAGACACGTATTTTTTTATTAACAATCGTGCAGATTTAAAGGTGTAAATTACTCCTTATAGTGATAAGCACGAATACTTAATGCCTTGTATTTTATCTTACTATATTAGGGCCAATTCTGAATTTTGGAGAAAATGAGAGGTTTTCATGTTTTCTAAAAGCAAATCCAGTGTAAAAATTATAGAATTCAAAATAGCGGATTCAATATGGTGACCTGTTGAATATAAACTATGGCATTGTTTGTGTTTTATCTCTCGGGAGCTGGTTGGGATTGCTCTAAAAAACAAACCTAGCATACTTGAAATTGTATGTTTTTTTTAACAAGGAGAATCCAAAAAAATGGATTTGTTGTTTTTACGTTACTTCTCACCTATGTCAATTTTTTTATTTCTATGTTATATACTCTTTGCAGAAATGATATTCAAAGAAAAATTCTTGTATGCACAAAGATTTTGCAGGCCAAGCACAGTTTACGACTGCTTCATTAGTACATAATGCACAGATAGCTTCTCAATTTTTGAAATAATAATCTACTAGATTATCAAAATCGAGTGATTTCTCTCGTAAGTATCCACTCAAATAAATTTATAAACTGCAGAAAGGATAACACTGATTATTGAGTTATCCTTTCTGTGGTTTATAAATTTACTTAAATATTCATGGTACAAAAGTGGATACTTACAAGACAAATTACTTGATTTTGATACTGCAGCTAAGAATTCATTCATAGGTATTTTAGTATACTTTGAAATAGAAAACCATCTTGTCCTTATGCCGTTTAACGCTAACTCAATTGGTACATTGTGAATAATCACATCAAAAGAAACTAATTTATGTTGCAGTTCTATTTCCATGCCATTCAATTTTTTAACTAAAAGTTTTAATTAAAAGCTGTTCTCAATGTGTTCTCATTTTCAATTTTTTATCTCAACAATTTTATACTTCTTATCGATGTAAAAATCCCTTTTCAGTTTCCACGTCTCTCATTACGCTACCCATTGTACTTCGTTCTCTCATTTTAATGTATTATACTTAATACACTTAAAGTCATCCGTACTTTGTGTAGTATATTATAATCGTGAGAAAAATTATTCCATACAACACTGTCTTAAAGGATGTCCAAAGGACGTCTACATCATAAAGATGCCTTTAAGATGCCGCTCGGAAAACTGTGTTCTATGGGGCTTTTTAAATAGAGATACGTGAAATATTATTTTGATTTCACTTCTTTTTTTGTAACATTATCTTTGGTATCTTTTTTCTGCAAAATATACTTGACGGTCTTTTTTTTTACATTTTTAATTTCTCTCTCTTTTCTGGTAGATTTTAATTTATCCGAGTTCGCGCTTTAGAGCCCGAAGCTGGATCGAAATGAATTGAAATAAATTGATATCTGAGAGTACACATAAACTTGTTTCTGTTCATGAAATGGATAGAAAATAAAACAACGACTTGAAAATAAATTCTCTGTAATATTCTTTCAATATTCTTTCAATATTCTTTCAATTTTACGACAACATTTATAATTCCTTCTTTATAAATATAACAGTTTTTTATTCATATTTTTATATTAATTTCGATCGAAACAGGAATGTTCCTATTCAATACTATACTCTGATATAAATTCAGGACTTATATATTTTCGTCATAACTTTTTTTATTTAAACAAAAGTGTGTATTTTCACAATTTGAACTGTGATGTATTTACTGCTTATACAAATTAGGTTGAAAATTTTTTTAATTGAAGTGAATTCAAACGAGACTATTCTTGTTCATAATTTTGAACTGGGATGTGTTCATGGTTAACTTATATTTATGACATAAGTATTTTTAGACTCAAATGGATAGAAATACGAAATGTGCTATTCATCATGTTGAATTTGGATGATTCATGGTCATATTATATTATTTTTCGATTGAAATGTATTAAGATACGTAATAACTATTCATCATATTGAATTCATAAGTATTCATGGATTCAAATAGATTCGAAAAATCAGAAGCGCGAATTCGGAAATGTTGACATAAATTCATTTCTATCCATTTCAATTTATTCTCGTTTACCGGTCACTTTAACACTGACAAAAAAATGTGTAAATGTTATTAAAAAGTAAACGAAGTTGATCTTGACATTTTTAAAGCGGTTTTACTTATAAAAGAAACTTGTACATTATGTAATGATCCCCTCGAAGTTATGTAACTTTTGTGTAGGTACATATAACAATTTTTCGTATAACTCATAATTTATAAGTTTTTTGAGATGTACAAGTTAGGTGCCTCATCCTGTATATGAATATAAATTCTGTCAGAGTGAAATGTCACTGTACTTCTAATTTCTGTGGATACAGGTAGCAACTACCAGCAATGTGATGCAATTGGCCTTCATTACACAAAAAGCGAAACGAGTGAATCGCCGACGGCTCCAACCGTTTGATTATCTGCATAAGAAATATGGATATTGGTCGCAGTTGTTTGATCCGATGGTTGATCGTTGCGATGAGAATTCCAAGGTAATCGTCGTCGAGGGTCCGATTGCTGCAGGAAAATCCAAGGTGGCCGCAAAATTGGCAGAGGAATTTGAGATGGTCTATCTACCACCGCCGATCTTCGATGAATATTATATAAATGAGTATGGATACGATATACGTACACTGGATGACAGATTGTCTGTGGGCTCACAATCGTGTGACGTGCAGAAATTTCTGACAAATCCGTATCATCCCAATGTGCCCATGTTTCAATTTCATTATTTTCAACTTAAACTTGATCAGTACATCACTGCTCTACTCCATTTGCTCTCGACTGGCCAAGGAGTGGTGCTCAGCCGTTCTTTCTATACCGATTATGTATTCGCGAAAGCGATGACAAACGCTGGTTACATGCGTTCAGAGGTATTAAAATTTTACGACGATATCGTAAATATCGCCAAGTTACAGATGTTGAGGCCTCATTTAATCATTTATTTGGACATACCTGTGGATACAGTTATGGTAATTTCAATTAATACAGATGATATACGCGACTGCTTGCTTTTCCTCTTTCTCTATGTGTATTCAAAGAATATTTTGTCATTTTCTATCGTATTAATATTTGCAGGAAAAAATAAAAAAACGTGGCATACTATACGAAGTAAATTCGAAAGTTCTTACTTCAGAGTATCTCCAAGATATTGAAAATATATATAAATTGGATTATTTGAAAAATATTATATCACATTCTCATGTGTTAGTCTATGACTGGACAAACGAGGGAGATATTTCTTCTATAGCCGAGGATATTGAAATGCTTAATTTTGATTACGAGGATAAAACACCTAAAAAATTCTCTGATTGGAGATTCGAAAACGTTCAGGAACTTCGAACTAAAAGGAAATATTATGAAAATAGATATTTCTTACATTCTGACTATTGGAGAAATGAATATTCACTACCAGAATTGTACTACACAGCTGAAGAAATGGAAGAAAAGGATAAAGCAATGCAAATGGTACGTATGTATATAGGGTGTCTTAAAATTGACATCAGGAGACACGGTAGTGTCTCAGCACTAAGCCAAGCGCAACGACACTACTGTGGTTCCTATATGCGAGACCGTAAGTTGCGGGGATTGAGATTATTGGATCTTAATAACGGCTGAACCGATCAGGTTCTACATATACTCAACTAATAGCGACCACTCAAATTGTAATAAAAGTGCTTTTATTTTTTGTCTACGTACCCTACGAGTGGAGATATTGCGACGCAAAGTCCCGATGTGAAACTTACATCGGGATACATCATCGTTATTGTCATGTTCGTTATCGTCGTCCAGTCAGATGTACTGTTGCACGTTTCGGCGCGAAAGTGCGTTAGTGTATTGATGCAAGAGTAAGAAGCGCTAGCGGTGCATGGTAAACGAAATTATACGTATTTGTTAATAACCTTTGTTGATAACTCAGCTAGGAAATAATAATGAAAAGCGATTTATTCATCGTCGATCTCTATTTGTTTATAATTAATATTTAACAAAAAGAAATCGAATGGAAACGAAATTACACGCTGGCAATTGTTAACTAAGCTAGGAAATGATAATGAAAAAGTGATTTATTCAATCTAGATCTCCATTTGTTTATAACTTAATATTTATCAAAAGAAGATCGGAGGAAAATGAAATTATACACTGGTATTTGTTAACTAAGCTAGGAAATGATAATAAAAAGGTGATTCATTCTATTGATCTCTCTATTTGTTTATAAATTAAATATATATATATAACAAAAGGAGATCGAACGGAAACGAAATTATACACTATATTTGTTAACTAATTGTAAGATAGAATGAAGCAATGCATAAGCGCTTACGCGTTGCTTCATTCTATCTTAGTTACGTAATGAACAAAAAAAAATAGAATGAAGTTTACAGCGTGAGCACCCAAAGCGGGTGGACCCCATGTCCAGTGCTGCCAGCCCTACCGTTTTAATAGTAGATTTACGTTTTGACTTACCAACCTACTGCCTACTGTTTCAGCTAGGTTATTTAGTCTTTTCATCTGCTACTCTTTCTGGACTCATGCATACAAAAGAATACTTAAACGGTAAAAGTTGCTATACCTCTTGCCTATATTAGAAGAGCTATTTAAACTGCATTCTAACAATATGTATAAGAAAAATAAAGACTATGAAATGTTAACTGATTCTGAGACGAATCGATATTACAGTTGTATAAATATCTCCAAATTGACTGAATAAAAAATCCTTTTACAGGATTAAAGTAGTCGCAAAATTAGGAAGTGGTGCAGTGGACTTTATATTAAAATCGGAAAAAATTATGTAAGTTTTTAATTTCTTTTCTGTTTTAATATAAAATCCACTACACCACTTCCTAATTTTGCGTCTATTTGCGTTTTCTGTGGTTGAACTAGTGTATACTTTTAGAACTTAAAATGAGATAGATATATGTTCGATATTTGGCGAAAGCGAGAGTTCTAATGCAGTCTAGTGCAGAATAAAGAATAGACCTTTAGACATCTAATTAAGTGTACAGTCAACGCGATGCTATGAACACTTTAAAGCGTTTTTTGATTGATCAATTTGTAAAGTTCTTTCTTCTGATTGGTCTATTAAACACTTCAAAGCATTTGTAATAAGACTTTGGCCACAGTCTAAAACGGGAGGATCTCGATCATAGCTCGATTGGACATCATCAATCACAGCGACTGAGTGTCTAGGGGCTTTTCAATCTCAAACGCTATGAGTAGCTTATGTCCAATCAGGTGCCCCTTAAAAGATTGTTACATGTAATTATTGTGATCTCTTGTTACAGGTACCTGGATATATGTACGCTAAAGGATATAATTACAAGTTGGGAGATAAAAATATTTTGTGGAAAAAGGATCCTACTTTTTATTTAACAACTCTAAGACCTACTGCACGCGAAATAGATGTAGTGATTAAAGAAATGGAGAAACTCAAGGCCGCGTCGATGCAGTGAGAGCTAAAAAGTGATATATCTAGGAAAGAAATAGAGTTTGTAAATAACACAATCGAACAAAAAAATTGCGGCGAGCAGAGCCAGCATTTTTTAATGGATTCAAGGTTGCTGAATCCAAATCCACCAGCGAAAGATGCCCATCACGTCAGATTTTTCAGATAAATCGAATAATATGAGTAAAATATACCTTTTTTGCTATATTTACCATTTTTTTGTGTCCAAACGAAATTTTATTTTTCAATTAGCGTCACTCTAAAGAGCGAATCTTCACCTTTAAAACGAATTTTTATTTTTTACTGTGTGGTTTTTTTTCATCGAGTTGTGAACGTTTTCTGAAATGTCAAATGGTGGATCCAAATTAGCGGATTGAACCCGAAAAGTAGATTTGTATCAAAAAAGTATCTTATTCTTTCTAAAGGTCACTGAATCTGAAAAATTGTACAGAAATTCAAAATGGCGGATCTAATATGGCAGATCAAATGTTACTTTTAGCATTTTGGTCCTCCATAATGGATCTGCCATTTTTAATTTCTGTATTTTAAGTTTTTTTCAGATACGTTGTCAGCGACCTCTGGAGAGAGAGAGAAAGCCTAAGATACTTTTTTTGATACAAATCTGTCTACTTTCCAGATTTAATCCGCTAATTTTGATCCACGATTTGACATTTCAGAAAACGTTCATAACTCAATGAAAAAAAATCGCACAGTAAAAAATAAAAATTCTTTTTAAAGGTTAAGATTTGCTCTTTAAAGTGGCGTTAATGACATTTAAAAATAATATTAAGTAAGAATATTCAAGCCTTATAAGCTAGATCTTTAATGCTTAAATAATTTAATGTGAATTATTTAAGCATTAAAGATCTAGTTTCGACTGTTATAGGCTTGAATATTCTTATTTAGTATTTAATTACATTACGGTCTTAATAAAATCATTTATTATTGAAAAATAAAATTTCGTCGGGCCACAAAAAAATGATAAATATAGCGAAATACGCTGTTTTTGGCTCATATTAATCGATTTATCTCAAAAACCTAATGAGATGGGCATCTTTCGCTGACCGATTTGAATTTAGCGACCTTGAATGAATCTATTAAGAAATGTGGGTTATGGTTGCCATAGAAATAAAAGGTCAAATTTTATCGACCAGTGTAACAATTAAAGTAAAAATAAATTTTACTTTCATCCCTGGGAAATGTCTGCTTTCTTTGTTTTTACTGAATTAATTTCTTTCATGTTATGGGCCTTCTACAATAAGCGGCAAGTCAGAACGTCAGAAGTCTTAACTAGTCTTAACCAAGTCATTCAAGTTGGCTATTGGCCAACTTCACCGATTATGACTTAAGATCGCTTAGAACTTCTGACTTGCGGCTTATAGAAAGACTATTATATTTTGTAATATTGAGTAATTTTATTATATTTTATAATAATGAAATATTTTAGTTGATATAATTTTTAAATATAAATAAAGAGCCTAGTCTAATAAGCGATCCGTATTTAAGTAATGTATCAAATGTGGTCGACAAAATGAGAGAGAGAGAGGGACCGTGGGAGACGGCCAATCTCCCTCTCATTCTCTCTCCCATTACACCATTGAATGGAAAGAGATAGAAGTGACCGTCTGCCACGGTCCCTCTCTCTCATCCCTATCGACCATTTTGACACACGGATCGTGCAGTCCATTCTCTATGGCTTTGCGATGAACACATTAGGAGTTGTAAGTTTATTGGCTACCGCATCACACTTTGCTGCGCGGCAAGCGTTTCCGCATTCAGTGTGCAGAAGCCATTAGGGTACCATTCCATACAGCCCGTAAGCAGTGATGCACTGCTGTTGGCTCCCGGCAACACGGAAAAGTGTGATGGGCTGTGTGGGAATTAAGCGGGGAGCACAGACTCTTGCATAATGCATAAAACATGAGACATAAGAAATTGAACCAACCAGAGTTCTCTATTACATGGAAGGAAAAGAAACGGAGAACTTCGATTGGTATATATTCTTATGCATTACGTGTTATGCGTTATGCAAGAGTCTGTGCTCCCCGCTTTATTCTCACATGGGAATATTCATGCGCATGCGTAAACTGACGTCACAGTCACGTGTCGGCAGCTTTCACAGACGTATCTGAAACCGTTAAGGGCTTCA